TTTGGCCCCCCCCCCCCCCCCTTTCCCCCCCCGGTGTTTGCCATCGGGGTTGGGTTTTCGTCGCTTGGCAACGACGTTGTAAAACAAGCCGCCCCCCCCGGTGTTTGCCATCGGGGTTTGGGTTTTCGTCGCTTGGCAACGACGTTGTAAAACAAGCCCCCCACTCGGTGTTTGCCATCGGGATTGGGTTTTCGTCGCTTGGTAAACGACGTTGTAAAACAAGCCAATTCACTTCGTGAACTCGGCAACCAGGTTACCGTTTTTTTTTTTACCTCGTTTTTTTTTTTTTGGCGGTAACCATAATGGTGGTCGAGTAGATCATGTTGTGCGGGGTGGAGAAACCTCACTCCGCGCAACGGGGGGTGATCGCACCACGTTGTGTTAAAATGGTCAAGCATCCTCGAGGCAGTTACACAGTGCTTACAACTGTCTCTGGAAGTAAAAGCACCAGAAAGTAAATTAAGTCGTACGTAGCTGTCATCCGTACGCAAGGAAGTAAGCACAAGATGCCGAACACCCTTAGCAGGATGCAGCTCACCCTTCATGCGACTCGCCGAATACCTCACGGCGCTTCGCGCTTGGTGATGTGAGAGCCTGGTCCGGTGAGAACCCGGTGTGCTCCGTCCCGGCTTTGTAGGGATGCGAGGTTAATGGTCAAACGACTACGGCATGCACGACTATGAGTACACCCCCCCCCCCCCCCCCTTTGCGTGCTTGCTTTTTCCAGATTCACCGTTCCGAGGTGACCTGGCTTGGCCTCCACGCCTTCAGGGAGGTGTTCGGCGCCTTCGCGATGAAGGACCGCGGGTTCGCCCGCTGCAAGCTCGACGTGGAGAGAGCCCTCAGGGAAACTGCCGGTTCTCGGGGAGGAGGCTTCGAAGGGTTCAGTAGAAAGATTCGCAAGGGCAAGGAGGGTGCGGCCGCTGCAGGCTGCGAGGAGGGAGCGACATCCGACACGCAGCATGGGGTACGGCGCGGCAGGGCGTACGGCCGGCTTCGACGTGTCGTGCGCTCGCCGGACGCGCTGTCGTTGCTGCAAACGCTCACGTCGTAAGCACGCGCGTAACACTAGCCGGGCAGAACGAATATGTTCCAGGCATCCCGCGGAGCCGGGAAAATAGGGGGTACTTAACCGCAAGACCGAAGGGGGTTCTAGGGTCGCGGGGTCTCCACCGTGGTGTTGATCGCGGTGTATGTGCGTCGGGGTTTGCACGACAGGCTTCTGAGTGGATAGGGCGGGCCCGGATACAGATCATCCGTCTCGAGAGAGATTGTGCACGCGGGTGAAACCAAGCGTGTTTTCTCCTTGCATTGTCTAGCTGAATCTTAGTATAAGTATTCTTACCCTGTCAAAGGGCATTTTTTGTGGGCGCCGGTCATCACCTTTCGGTATATGTTTTACGCACAAGGACCTGCTTTTTTTGTGTGTTGTCGGCCTTTCCTCTTGTGATGCTTTAGGTTGGAAGTTTTTTTTGTGACTAAACGA